CTTCCCGCTGCAGTTTGACAATCTGTTTGAGGCATCTCTGCCTCTGTATCCATTATTGTTCAAAAGTTTATAATGGTCTCTCATATTCTTTATTTTTATCTTTTGTACTTAGGGAACCATTCTAGGCTTTAATTCCTTTAAATCAGGGGTCCTCAAACTTTTTAAACAGGGGGCCAGTTCACTGTACCTCAGACCGTTGAAGGGCCGGACTATACCTTTAAAAAAAACTATGAACAAATTCCTATGCACACTGCACATATCTTATTTTGAAGTAAAAAAACAAAACGGGAACAAATACAATATTTGTATTTGTATGTGGCCCGCGGGCCATAGTTTGAGGACCCCTGCTTTAAATAATAACAGGTACAGACCTGTTATAATAACAGGTAGAACCCATACAAAATGTAAATTTCCAAATCTCTTGCTAAGAGGATATTCATCTAGTTTGCCCTTCCTCTATGTCTCACAGGGATATTTTCATGAATAAATAACATATTCAACAATGCAATAGGGGTATGAGTTTAGCTCCTAAAATGTATTGACGTTTCAGAGCTTTACATAAGCTTTTAATAGTTGTCCTCACATCAATTAAAATAAAAACGCAGTTGCTACCATTTTAAATGTTAGAGGTCTCTAGAGACATGCCCAGACAAACACTGATCTAAAAGTAATAGAAATGTGCCTGAAAACTTAAATACCTTCTTTACACATCTTGAGTTTCTATAGCCTAAAAAAGAAGAAAAAGAAAAAACTATTTGCTTTTACAATTTCCTTGATTTATTCACCTTGTACCCTTCAACTAACTGATATTGTCAGAATCCAAGCGCTCAGGGAAACTAGATTCAAAGGCTGCACTATTCGGTGGATAAGGGATCCAAAGGAAAGAAACACATACATTGGATTCAGCTCAGACGAGCAGCCTGCTCCCACAGGACAGAAGGAGAGCCACTTTCAGAAGGTTCCACAAGCTGTACTCTCCAGATTGAGACAGAAAGAACCCCTGGAGGGGGCCAGTCCCTGGGGGAGGAGCGGGGGACACCTGAGCAGCCCCAGGAGTGAAGCCCCAACACTCTCTTCTCCCCGGGGAATAATAGAAATGTGGAGGCAACCAGTTGATGGGTCTCTCTCAAGTCAATGTTTCTCTCTCTGTGTCTTTTCCACTCCTCTCTCCCTTCCACTCTCTCTAGAAAACAATGGGGAAAAAATATCCTGGGGTGAGAAATAAAATATAAAAAAGTTTGTTGTTGAACAATATGCTCTTTTTTAAAAAAAACACACAACAACAATATGCTGTTTTATGCAGGCAGCAACCTCAAAGGTCTCGTGTTGACTGTGCCTTTTGATTGCATCATTTCATCCTGTGCTTGATTAAATCTGATTTTCGTAAATTTCCTGGCCTAAGTGTACAGTGTGATAAAGTCTACAGTCTTGCACAGTAACGTCCTAGGCCTTCATATTCACTCACCAATCACTGACTCCTGCAGAGCAGCCTCCAGTCCTGGAGCCCATTCAGGGTCAGTGCCCCACACGGATGTACCATTTTCTACCTTGCACACCGCATTTTTACTGCACCTTTTCATAAATGCTTCCTACCATTGCATTACAATTGCCTACAGTATTCAGTACAGTAGCATGTTGTACAGGTTTTTAGGCTAGGAGCAAAAGGCTATACCATATGGCCTAGGTGTGCAGTAGGCTACACCATGCAGGTTTGTACAAATTGTGTAAATTGCCTAAGATGTACTCCCCAGGCTAAAGGGTATATGAGTGTATTTTTTTTAAAAAATTTTTTTAGTGTTAAGTTTTAATTGATTTCAGAGAGAGGAAGGTAGATGGAGAAATAGAAACATGTTTGAGAGAAAAACATCAATTGGTTGCCTCCTGCAGGTCCCCTCCTGGGGATGGAAGCCCCCAATCCTGGCATCCTGACCCTGAATCCTCCTGATGCATGAGAGGATGCTCAACCAACTGAGCACACCAGCTGGGTGTGCAGTTTCAACCTCTCCCAGGAATAAAATTTTATACCAATCACTCTGTAATTTCCTAATCAAGACTAATCTGTCTAACAAGACTCCAGCTGTTCCTTCCCCTAAGGGTGACCCTGCCTGAAGCAATCCTTTAACCTCCTAATGCAACTTCCTTTCTGCCTATTGTGAACGCCTTCCATTGTGAACAGCTCCTCTGAGATTCTATTTTCTAGATGGGATGCAGCCCTTTTCGTGAATGGGGATCAAGCCAGTTAGACCTTCCAACTTACTCAGCTGAATTTTGTTTTTAACCGTTTGAAAGCACCACAAAACAAATAGCCGATAAAGACGCTGTGACTCAGAGAAGAAAGATGGCGCTTAGGATTCGGGGGAGAGACTGGAAATGCAGGCATTTGCTGCAGAGCTAGGCCTGGGGGACAGGGGTGGACTTGAGAGCCTGCTCCACAAACATCAAAACTCAGGAGAAAACGGGGTCCTTCTGGGGAGAAATGAGGGACAGGGGGCCCCACAGGCCACAGCTCCTCCCATGCACGAACCGCGGGGACCGAGTCACCATTGTCCCCAGTGACCCTCCACGTGGTCACCGCACCGACTGCGGAGCCGCGGGGATGTGGGTGCAGAGCTGCCCAGACACGCTCCGCAGCCCAAGGCCCTGCCGCGGGGACACACTGGACGCCCGGGTCCCGGCTGGGCCCCACCCTGCGAGCCCGAGGG